GAGAAAATTATTCATTTTGTCTGGGCAGCTTGAGGGCGATGGTGGCAGCTTGGGCTGAGGGTGGGTGTGACGTTTGTACCTGATGGTCCTTTCCTCCAGCCTGGCTGAGGAGGCGGGCATGAGGTTTGGATTTGGGCATATTTTACTTCTTTGTTTTGATCTTTTTTTAAAAAAGTATGACTTCTACTAAAATGTTAATAACATGTAGCAATCAGTGCTTGCTAGAGAAATAGGTTTAATGCAAGATATACAAATATATAAGAACCTGCAAGATTGGCTTACAATGCCACCCAGAGACAGGTATGGAAGAGTGCAGAGGGTCTGCCTGAGCGCTGGACGTCAAAGGATCCGGCTGAAGGAGCTCACTGTAGTATCCTGTGTGAGTCTGTAATAGGAGGCCCAAGGATCTTCAACGGACAACCGAATGAAGGTCTACACCGGAAGCCAGGAGATGACCTCCAAGGTGAAGGTGAAGACTGGAGCTCCTCCAAAGAGGCAGAAATGAGCCTTCCTCCTTCATTTTCCTTTTATACCATTCAGGTGACGATCTTCCCTGGTGGGTCTTCCAAACCCAGCAATGCTGATCCAATTTAGTTGGGTGAGATTCTTACACAAGTTGATACAGTCAACTACCTATCACACATGGTAAGTTTTCCGACACTGAGTGGTGAGTTGACTGCAAAGAGCATGGCTCAGGGCGTGACGCCACCCTTATGTGTGGTGTGCACACGCATGAGCCTGCATGTGTCTGCCGAGTGTGGCTCGCATTCAGTGACCTAGAAGACCTAGTTTATGTCTTTGCAGAGGCAAACAATGTCAAGGAAACCTCCTGAGGCTCCACATCCACGCACCTTTGATTTGGGATGTCTTTCTCTCCTCAGGGGACGTGGCAGCCTCCTGTCCAAGGACGCCATTGCCCGTTCATAGCGTCATTCCGGAAGCGGGAAATTCCACCCAAAGACCTCAGATTCTTCCTACTCACTGATCTTTTGTCGGTGGTGGTGGTTTTCATTTTGGCTTTTTTGTTTGTTTGTTTGTTTGTTTGTTTTGCAGTATTGGGAATCAAACCCAGGGTCTTTGCACCAAGCTACATTCCCAGATCTTTTTAATTTTGAGAGAGGATCTCACTAAGTCACTAAATTGTCCAGGCTGGGCTCAAACTTATGATTCTTCTGCCTCAGCCTCCCAGAAAGATAGGATTACAAGTGTGCACCACACCCAGCAACTCTCATTTTTTTAATTTAATTTGGAAACACAAACCCACACTTTCCAGGGCCCCGGCCTCTAAGCCATAACTTCATCTTACAGCAGGCCTGGCCCGCGGCTCACACAGCCGTCCTTAGCAACAGCAAGGACCTGCGCTTCTCTGACAATGAGAACAGCTGAATTCATATTAGGAAAACCGGCACAGTTCTCCAGGAGAATGAAGAGCACCCCATTTCCCCTCCAGTTCTCCTTTTATGCTGTTGGCAACAGTCCTCAGGTGGGCCTTCCACACCCAGCTCCACACTGGCTCAGTTCAGCTGGGTGATACAAGTTGCTCATTAGTTATTCCACCACAGGAGGATTACATATAGGGTTGTCATATTAGCAATAAACATGTAGAACATCCCAAATTTAAATTGGGACATGCTGGTACCAAAATAGTATTCATCATGTAGCTGATGTTCAAATTTAACTGAGCATCCTGTATTTTATCTGGCCCTGGTTATACATTCATAAACAATCTCTGACAAAAGGAAACACGGATATCACACTTGGTTTAGCCTCTAATTCTGTCCTGTAACCCACCCTTTACCCTTTTCTGAGCCTGAATCCCCCTTCTCTCATTGGCCAGACCTGAGTCACATGTCTGTCTCTGAACCAATCACTGAGCTGGAGGAACAGAATGTGCTCCAGCCTTCAGGGCTGCTGAGCCATGACTCAGCCCAGGTATGAGGGTGGCTGCAGAACCCCTTTGCAGCTTCCAACCAGACCATCTGGGACAAACTTTCTCCTCTTGAATATTTATTTGCATGCATATTAAAAAATTAAAAAGACATGAATTGCACAATGACACAGCCTAGACTGAGCTTTAACTGAAAAGAGCCCATTTAAGAAAAGCATTCAATAGTCATGCAGGTAGTGGACCAAGACAGGCCAAGACAGCGAGTCTAGCACACACTTAGGGAGCTCTGGGTTCCTGACAGGCTGGATGGTCTGCGCTTTAGAATTTAAGTCCAGTTGGTGAGGCACAGGGCAGGTCCTCCCAGCCCACCAGAGCCAGAGGAGTCAGGGTGACCTCCCGCCAGCCCTGTGTGGTGGAAAGTTTGAGTCACGGAAAGAACTTGAGTCTGCAACTTTCCTCCCCACCTCCCCCAGCTGATGCCGGAGAAATCAAGTTTGGCTTGGCTCCTGGCTGTGTTTAAAATATTTAAACCTGGCTTCTTTCTCGCTTTAGGCCCATGTCTTCTGGGTCTCATCTCCCACCTGAGGCGTCTGTCTGCACAGGGCAGGCAGCAGGCAGGAGTTCAGCTCCTGTTTTTGTGTAAAAGATGCTGATTTATGGGCCTTCCTTATTATGGTTGTTTTAATGGAGCAGGTTACTGTCCCACGGGGAACTTTAACCTGGAGCGCTGCGTATTCAATGACGCTGCTGTCACTTAAAAGGAATGTTAAACTCGTGCTTTAGCAGCAGGCTGACCTAAATCTGCGTCTGGCTTGTTTGGGCAGTGCTCTGAAGACAGGTGGGAGGCGCAAGGGTGCTTTACAGGTGTGAGGGACACAGAAGCACACGAGGTCTTCTGCCTGGGAAAGAAAAGTCCGCAGCCTTCGAGATTTTTGCCGACACAGCATTTGGGGATGCTGACTGCAGCTGGTGAATTATTCACCAGGTGGCGCAGCCTCCCCTCCTTCACGAGGGAGAGTCTGACAGGTCCGGCGGCCCCGCAGCTTTAACTCCAGTCTCAGAAGACCCAGGGAAGACGAGTTCTCATTACCAACTACTCCATCACAGCCGGGGAAGGGCGGGCAAAGGGCTGGTTCTGCCTGATCACGCTGGGTTCAGACGCTGCACAGATACTCACTGAGTCCTGGAATGCGCCCCGAGAAGCAGCAGGCACTGAACAGTCCTCTGGCCCCAGAGATGGAGGGGCAGGAGGAAGACAGGGCGCTGGGTCTGCCTGTGAGCATGGCTGAGGAGTAGTTCCTTCTTAATCCTCACAAACCACCAGTTCCCAAGCCATTTTATAAACAAGGAAAGTGAATCATGCAGAGGTTCCATGTTCAGCCCTCTGAGTAAATAGACAGCTAGAGCTTGAACTGTGGTAGGATGAGCTTCAGAGTCTCCGTTTTAATCACTCCGCCATCTTGCCTCTTCTCCAAGGAGCTGCTGTGGAGCCTCACATAGAGCGGAACATGCAGGGCTTTGCCAGTCCTGGACAGCAGCATGGAGACAGGCGCTGGTTGCCAAGCAACTTACCTATTGTTCAGGAGTGCCTCCTGGTCTGTGGCTAGCATGGGATCAAGGTCTAGCCAGAGTAATTCATTTCCCAACCCATGGTGGTTGGCTCAGGGTTGTGCGTGTGACTCATCTCTTTCTCTTGGCCTAGCTGGACCCAGGCAGGACTTTACATCCATGTTGGGAAAGAGGTGGCCATCATCTGCTGGGGTGGCCAGGCTAGGAAGATGTAGGTCAGGAGCTGCTGCGGTCCTCCCTCTTCCCAGAGCAGGCTGACCTTTGAGTAAAGACACCTGCAAGTCACAAAGAATCCAGACAGCATTGCCCAGCCAAGGGCTTGAGCTTTGTCTGAGCCAGAAAGCCTTTTGTGATTCAGCCAGCCTAAGCTGGGGTTCATGACGGTCCAGGGTGATAAACTGAGGATCCACCAGCAGACAAATGGAAAGGAATCTGCATTACCCCCTCCCTGCCACTCCCTAGCCCCGTTGCTTGGCTCATTCATCTCTCCGGGGACGCCGTCTCTGTGTGGCGGTCCCCGGGCACCTGTGTGGGGAAGTGAGCATGCGCATGCTCAGGGGTGCCCACGAGCTCCTGGCGCAGGTCTGTGAAGTGCCTCCTGTTTGCCAAGTGGCCTTCTGAGCACTCTCCCTATCCGCCTCACAGAATCCTCATGATGGTTGCATCTGAGGCAGGTCCCGTGGTTTGAGGAAACCGAGGCTCAGAGGGTCAAGCTCCCCGTGGCCATCTTGGTCATCCCGTGGGGACAACCCGCATGAGAGTAAAGCCAACATGGAGGAAAGCAGAGCCAGAGACAGAGACAGAGTCACTGTGTAGCTGTTGGAGTCCCTGGATCCAGCTGGGACACAAGCCTGGGTCATACCTGCCCTTGAATTACACGCCTGGAAAATTTTCTCTTTTCACTTAAGTCCCTTGGAGCTGAATTTCAGCCAGTTGTGACCAGAAACGTCCTGACTGAAAAAGCCCAGAGTCGGCCCCTGGTTATCTAACAGTGGCCCTGGCCAACGTGTGGAAGGGCACCTGCTGTGCCTCCTGCAACTGGACAGCAGGGACTTCTGGGTGGGTTTCCCAGGAGGACCAGGACTGTCTCCAGTCCCTGCTCCCTCCCGGCTGGCCCTGAGGCTGGGCCCAGCACCCACTCCCAGCCCATCTGCGGATCGCTAGCTGGCTCAGCGACCCTCACAGAGCCCCACAGAGAGAGAACTGAGGGGCTTCGGGAGAGAGGCTGCTCGAAAAGCCCATGACATGCTATGAAAGCAGAACTCGTGTCATCTTTCCAGCAGGCTCCCTGCCCACCACCTGAGCTCCCTGAGGGCAGAGGGCAGTGCCCGCGCCACTCACCACCTACACGGACCCTGGCTCTTAGCTGCTAATGCAGATCCTGTGCCTGCCCAGCCCCCAACTGGCCCCAAACAATGACCCACGAGCCCTAACCCACAGGCTCAGCCCGTCCTGGGAAAACTGCTCCCCGAGCGCCTTTTTCTCCTTCCAGGAACTCTCTACCCACGAGCAGCTCCAGGACCGTCCTCCTAGCTTTACTCACCGCATCAGCGGAGCCTTTGCCAGCCACCGTGGGACGCTGGCCATCCCGCTTCCCGTCCTGCTTTCTCGTGTGCCTCGTTACAGATCCCCCTCCCTCTGTGCCTCGTTACAGATCCCAGGACTCGGGGAGGTTTTGTTTATTCTCTAAACTAGGCTCCAAATTCCACGAGGGCAGCGTGTCTACCCACTGCCTTCCCTGCACACTGTGAGCGTTTTCTAAGGAGGTGACAGGTGAACGGACTCCCTGTGGACACCAGCACTGACTGTCCTTTGGGGAACCTCTGCCCTCTACTCCTGGATCACATACCAGCCCCATGAAAGGTGCACAACCCAGGGCTGGCAACAGCATATCCAGGACCCCAGGCACACCTGGGCACAGCTGTGCCCCACAGAAGGGCGTGAAATCCTGCCCAACCCCTGTTCCCTGGCATGGGACTGCTTCTCCCAAAGGAGGAGGCACCCATTCCAAGTAGTGATCACTCCTGGGGTAGCCCAGGCCACGGGTAAAGCCCACCTTGACCCCAGTGCTTAGGTTAGGGCTTGGCACGTGGCCAGGTGAGTCTGATCTGCTGAATCCTGAGAGGCCAGAGGTGTATCAGGAAGAAAAGGTCCTCCCTTTGGGGTTACGGCACCAGCAGGTCGCATTTCTCCCAGGAGGGGACGAGGGGTAACTGACTGGGGTCCCTGGATTCAGCCCTACCTGAAGCTGGATCCACTCTCAGGACTTTATAGTTCTATGAGTGCATGCATTCCTCTTTTTGCCTAAGTGAGTTGGGGTTGGGTTTGCCATCACGAACAACCACTGGATGCCTGCTGGACCCCAAAGGTGAGGTGGTGACCCCCTGAAGGGGACCTGGTAGTTAAATTATACCCTGCCTTGAAGAAGCCTGGTCATTCGTAAACACTGTGTGCACCGAAAGGGCAGCTGGAGTTATGGGCTCTGACCTCACCATCCTCCCTCTGCGCAGGGCTGTCCCGGGGAGTCCCAACCCCTCCCCAGAGTGGCCTCTGTCCCCCTCCCAGGGCGTTCCAGCAACCACAACCCTCGCCCTCAGTAGAGTGCTCTTCTCCTTTCTCATTTTGTCATCTTGAAAGATGGCAAATTGAAGCACTTAATTTTCCTCCTCCAGCCCAATTAATACGAGCGTGCGCCACGCCGACGTGCAGCTGTGAGCGGCAACTCATTTATATCAATTAGCAAAACAGAGCTTCGTGCACATTCGCAGTGAAGATGACCTCAGAGCCTGAAGCCCAGCGGGAAGCCCGGGAAATAAGACCCCTGGGGCCTCCGGTAAGAAGCAAGGATCTGGGGTCCATGAGGACTGCTCCCATCCTTCCTTCCCATTGGGCTCCAAGGGGGATACATCAGGGGACAAGCGACTCCCTGACGAAGCCACGTCTCACTGTTCCCAAACGTCAACAGATTCCCGCAGCAAGGCTGTCTCCAAAGGGTGTCCTGAATCCACCCTCGCTTCGCCACCATCACCGCCCTTGCCCCCTGGCTGAGCCCCAGAGGCCACCATGTTTTCTCTGGGTCATCATTACAGCCTCCTCCCTGGTCTCCTGGCCTCCACTCTGGCCCCAGTCAGTCCATACCCACATTGCTGTCAGCTTGAGCTTTAAAAAGGTAAATCAAACCTGGAACACACAGTGGCTCCCTCGTGCTCTCAGAATAAAATCTAAGCTCCCATCATGGCCTCCAAGGCCCCGCACAGTCTGGCTACCACTGACCTCCCACACTTGGCCTCTCAGCCCTCCATTCCTTACTCAACGGCAGATGCACTTGCCCGCTTCCTCCTCCTCCGGCTGGGTGTACTAGCTCTGCCGCGGGCCTTTTGCACTTGCTGCTTCCCCACGCCTCTTCCTGGAGGCTCTTTCTCCTCTCTCCTGTCTCAGCTCAGACGTGACTCCCCTCAGCCAGGCTCACCTTGCTGTCCTCAGCTGCCATTCCTTCCTTTCACATCTGTTCAGTGTACAAACATCTGCTGAGCATCGTTTGTGCACCAGGCGCGTTCTAGGCCCTGAGGATCCAGCAACAAACAAGACAGACAAAAAAAAAAAAAAAAACAAAAAAAAAACAACCCTGCCTCATAGAGAACATTCTAGTGCAGAGCACACGGGGTAAGGACAACAACAGAAAAAGATGCACCCTGAAAAAATGTTACACACGTCTCACAAGGAAGGGGAGAGGCTGTGCCTGTCATTGGAAGCTGGCGGTCACAGTGGACCTTGAGAAAGCCCTAGGGAGAGAAAGGCAGCCAGCAGGTGTCGGGGAGAGGAAGTCCCAGGCAGAGGGAGCAGCAGGTGCAAAGGCCCCGAGACTGGCCTACTTGTCGTGTCTGAGAAGCAGCAACGTGGCCATGGTGGCTGGGAAGTTCCCCAAATTGTGATCCTGGCATCTGGGAGGGTGATTCCATCATCTTGGGAGGGGTAAATCTTTATGACTCAGCCACCTAAGCAGGAGGTGCTGAGGCCAAGTCAGGATGGTGGGCTTTGGGGTTTGAGTCCCAGAGGCGCCAGGCAGAGTGAACTTGGGGAGGCCCTTTACCTCTCTGAGTCTTGGGTTCTCTGTCTGTAAAATGGGCACAATAATTGACCTCTTTTCTGGGTTGTCATGGAGATTCACTGAGATATTTGTGTGCTTAGCAAAGTGTTCGGCATGTAGTAGGTCCCTCATCAGTAAGGCCTGGATCTTAGATTTGAGAAATAATGAGAACCACACATTTACCTCACTGGGCTCCTTCCATTGTATTAGTCCTGAGGCCACTGCCTAGGCAGCCCCTGCTGCTGGGCCCTGCTGGAGTTCTGTCACCTGTCCCATCTGAGCACCCTTCTGTACCCAGGAAATCCCCCTTCGCCCCAGTTCCCAGACTCAGTTTCTGTTGCTACAAGCCAAATATCCTGAGTGGTCAGCTCACCCCGATACAGCCCATGTGGTTTGCAAGGAAGGGATGAGCCCCACACCTGCAGCAGGGTGGACTTGAGACCCAAGCCAGGCCAGTTGGAGCAGAGAGCAGTGCATGGCTCCCTTAGCCCAGAGAGAGTCAGCCTGGAACACTGCTGGAACTCTCATGAGGGAGGAAGTTTCTTTCCTCTTGGCTTGCTGAGCTAGTGTCGGGGAGCTCACTTTCACCCTAAGGAAAGAAGCTTGGGGGAATCAGGCCAACATCAAAAACTTAGAACCAAGATATACAGATAGATACTTTACAGTAATATCAGACCTCCTGGATCCAGCCCCTCCTGAAACCCCTGAACTCACCCACTGTTGGACTGAGAACTTCCCATTTTGGTTTAATTAAAGTGGCCTTATATCTTATTCAATTAAAAAAAAAATTAAAACTTCCGCTTAACATAAAGATTACAGCACTCTAAACAAATAGCAATTTCTACATTTATTTGTGGACAACTGGCTTTGCAGACAATGATAAAACTAAACATCAGAGCACAGCACACAGCAGGTCCCCACATTACACATCTCCTGTCCCCCACAAGGACTTGGGTGAGCTTCCGGGCCAGTGGACACAAAAGGGAGCCACAGGCTGCCCTCCAACGCCGACAGTGGGAACTTCAGACGTCCTTGCCCACTAAACTTGCAAACCGGCCCACTGTAGCTCTACTTCTGGTCTCAGGCCACCCAAATTATTCCAAAATAAAATAATTCTTATATTCTAAGAAGACAAGCAAAGGCAGAGCTAATGAAATGTTTAATGCCTGCTACAGCTCATATGTCAGTGTTATATCAAATTTATGGGCCTAGACAGTTATAATATACAATGCATACATTTTTATTAAGTTGGAGGACCCACATGTAATCGACATGGACTATAGATTTATAGCCATCTTTATAAGACCTGGAGATAATTTCATACTGTTAAATATCTGCAGAGCTTTAAAGTTGTAGCTCTGCTTTTATGGCACACGGTGACACAATGTGGTCCTATCTGTGACCTGTCTGACGCTAAGTCCTTGTGGGGGAGAAAACTCCAAGGACAGCCGCAGGCCTGCAGGGGACATGAGCAGTGTTCTGACCCCCAAGAGGCGATGTCCAAGGATGGGACATTCTGAGGGGAAGTAAATGCCCAGGCAGTGGATGGGCAGGGCTGCTGGGGCTCCGAGACCTTCACTGTGACCCAGGAGTCCAGCGGGCATCTGGGGAGGAGCCAGGTGGCCTGGGCCCAGGAGGCAGGAGGGCTCAGGAGGCAGAGGACTGGGCCACCAAGCCACATGACATCACTGGCTCAGAAAATGGTGAGGACTGTGGCAACTTGGAGAGGCTTCCCATTTGTAGAGACACCGAGGTTGAGGACCTGAGCTCTAAGGTCCTCAGCTTCCGCCCATCGTTTTTCCCATAGATCTTCCACAGTCGCTCCTGCAGCAGAGAGGTAAAGAAGCGGAAGCCATGGAGGCTGCGGGCCCTGAGCGGAGAAGGTGAGTCTGGGTAACCCACTTGTTCTGCTTGCACCGTGAGCACTGGCTAAGTGTCAGGGTGAAATGTGAAAGGGTCTTCCCAGTGAGTTCCACAGTCGGGCAAACAGATTAGAAGCTGTGTATCAGTCGATAGGTGAATAAACCCATTATAAAAGCGCCTCTGGCAAGACACAAGATTATTTCCCTCTTTGATAATCAGTGCCCAGAAGTCAGCAGCTGGGGCTGGCGGTGTAGCTTCACTGTGATCAAGGATTCCAGCTTTCCGACGTTCCGTCAACAACACCGTGGCTTCCACTTGATAATCCAAGAAGGTTGCTTGAGCTCCAGAGATCACACTCACATTTCAGCTAGCAGTGAAGAGAAAGGTACAAAAGCATGTGTTCCTCTTCTTTAAAGACATCTGCTGAAATTATGCATAGTACTTGCAGTCCCTGGTGACAATGACTTTGCATAGCCACATCCCACTGCAAGGGAAGTTGAGAAATGCTGTCGTTATTTTGGGCATCTATGTGCCAGCTACATTCTTTCTTCCCTAAGGAAAGAAGGGAGAACGTGTTGAGGACTGGTCCAGGGTCACCTCCACACCGAGCATGAGCGCTGCCCATCTGTCGGTGCCTGGGCATGAGGTACAGATTCGTGTGCGTGTGTCCACACTGGGGTTCA